AATCAAGTGGATCGATCAATCGAATTCTGGCATTCTCAAGAGAGCCTAACGATAAAAATGATGCGAACACAAACGCACATCATCGAGGCCGTCGACTATCGCTTCGATCTCACGAAGTCTCTGCTCCATCTCCTCGCTCTCCTCTTTCTGCCGATTGATCGTCGTTGCCAAATCATGCACATATTTTTGCGCTATCAGCAAATTCTCATAATCAGCATGCTCCACTGATGTATGTTTTACTATTTGCTGAAATTTTATCATCGATTCATTGTTCATGTTGAAATTTTCTAAATTTTCTATTCCAAAAAAACGCTCTTCCGAGAAGGTATTGCCAAATGGTGTACGAATGAATTAGCGCAATTGTATAAAAAAGTAACCTTCAAAACAAGTTCGTATCTTGGTACTCTTTGTATCGGTGATATCAACAATGAGTCCAGATCAATTTTATTACGATGATCCCTGCAGCATCGCTGAAATAAATTCATCCTGAATTCGATAGCGAAGAGCAAATTGCACTTATACACAGTGGTCGATTCAGAAATTTTTTTTGAAACCTTATTAGAAATATTAGAAATCAGCACAAAACAATTTCTGCAACCTTCGTGAAAATAACGTCTCACTATGTGAATCATTGAGCCAATCAGTATCTATTGGCACGTGCCGAACGTTGGCTTATATTTGGTTAATACTGATGATTAATTGTAAGATACTCCGTATCAAATTTGATTCTCGGTAAAGCGATCAAAAGTTACCATATAATACTTTTCGAATGCCGGCTTTCCTCGAGCTTCGATTATCGCCTGCTTAGCGAATTTGAAATTATCAACAAATGCTATATAAGTTTCGATCATCGACTGCTTTTTGAACTGAAAAGCAAAACACTATTTTAATGAACCATCAGACTGATGCATTTTCTATCAGTGGAGCCTTATCGAGTATTTTTCAACGCGTATTTCACTATATCTAGGCAGTCCACTCAGATTCTTTTGAGTGTGTTATGCTAAGTAAAATCAGGTTGAGTGAAAATATTATTAGGTTATTAATCTAAAATATCACTAAGTATCTTGGTCGCCGATTAAAATATTATGAAGAAAGGAATGAAAATATTTTGTTTCTGGCAATATTGAATGCGTTCAACAGCAGATTCTAGAAATGACTAACGTGTGAAAGAAGAACATCTCCAATGCGTGTGTCAGATTGAAAGTTGTCGAGTCGATCGCCAAGGGCCGCTAGAAAATGCTGAAAATGATACTTTTTGCTCGGCTTTTTGGTAGATTTAATGCAGATACAATTCGGTATTCGATATTTTTACCACATAATCTATCATCTGGTACTCAAATGAATAAATAGAACAGGTAATGATCAGTTAAAGAAAATGAAAAAATCAAATCACCTGATGATGAATCAAAATTTCGGGGATTTTATAAAATATCTTGTCGGCTAAACCAGCATCAACTAGAGTGCATTCGAGAGGTTGTCGCAGTGGTCGCATGTACTTCTGCAATTCGAACAAATCACACGAACAAATTTCAAAAGGCGAGTATCAAATGGTACTATGAAAAATTATCAGTGCTAAGTTAATTTCATCGCAACGAAAATCAATTTATACAATCGCTTC